CTGAACACGCCCCAAATCCTGCTGCTGTCCGGAATCGGCCCCAAAGAAGAGCTGGAGAAAGTGGGGATCGCACAAGTGCATAACCTCCCAGGTGTGGGCCGAAACCTGCAAAACCACGTGGCTTTCTACATGGGGTACAAGTTGGAGAACCGTCCAGCTACCAGCGATCTGGACTGGGCAACCGCCCTGGATTACATTCTCTATCAAAACGGGCCAATGAGCTCAACCGGATTGTCGCAGGTGGGCTTTCATCAGCTGCTCGCCAATCGAGAATTTTCGAAAGTTTGCAGGTCACTGCTCGGATAAATTCCCCATACGCCGATCCAAGTGGCACCGATCCAGACCTGCAGATTTTCTTTGCTGGGTACACGGCGAATTGCGCGACTGGTTCCATCGGCGATCCTGAAGATCCGGAAAATCCCTTGGCGAAAAAGGACTTTACGGTTTCACCGGTCGCTTTGCACCCGAAAAGCCGGGGGTAAGTTGGGCGGTTGGCAGGAAAGAGCTCCAGCTTGATCAACGTTTTTCCAGCTACGTGGGGCTCCATTCCAGCAATCCTCTGGATGCCCCAAAAATGGTTGCCAACTATTTATCTCATCCAGATGATGTTCGCGTCTTAGTGGCAGGGATACGAGTGATCCAGCAGCTGGCAAACACCACAATTCTAAGGGAAAGCTACGGCATGGCTCCAGACCATGAGGAATATGGAGAGTGCTTGTCCAAACACCGGTAGCTTTAACATTTCCTCCTTTAACAGCTAAGGGATTTTTTGGCAATTCCAGCAAGGACACTGATGCGTTTTGGTCTTGTGCGGTCAAGTACTACACCGGGCCGGAGAACCATCAGGCCTGCTCCTGCAAAATGGGCCCCAAATCTGATCCTTTGGCAGTAGTCGATAACAAGCTTCTGATCCACGGCTTAAACAACGTGCGGATAATGGATGCATCCGCTATGCCTGTTTTGGTGTCTGGCAATACTCATGCCACAATTGTGATGATGGCGGAACGAGGAGTCGATTTTATCAAGGAAAAATGGCTGGGGGCCAATACTATCGAGGAACGACTTGGGCAAGACAGTCAGAGGTCGCCTGGTGTTCAGGCGCCTGTTAAGCAGTAAGTGGACGCATTTTTGCAAGGGATTTGATGTCTTCTGAGTAGTCTGATGTCTTCTGAGTAATTTGGGTCTTTAATCTTCTGTTTATCTTGAGTCGCGCCAAGGAAGACAAGCAATCGAAAACTTTGATGTGGACCAAGGTTGGTTGTAAGCAA